GGATGGATGGATGGATGGAAGGATGGATGGATGGATGGGTGGATGGATGGATGTGTGGATGGATGGATGGATGGATGGATGGATGTGTGGATGGACGGGTGGGTGGATGGGTGGATGGATGGATGGGTGGATGGGTGGGTGAGTGGATGGGTGGATGGGTGGGTGGTTGGGTGGATGGGTGGATGGATGGATGGATGTGTGGATGGATGGGTGGGTGGATGGGTAGATGGATGCATGGGTGGGTGGGTGGATGGATGGGTGGGTGGATGGATGGATAGATGGATGGATGGATGGGTGAAAGTGAACTCTATCGAGGAAGGAATGATTGAATGGGTGAGTGGGTGACCGGCTGAGTAGGTGAGCAGATACAGGGAATGGGTGAATGGAGGGATGGGTGGATGGTAGGACTGATAGATGAGTGAAGAGGTGGGGAAGGGAGGGGTCTGTGGATGGGTGGACGCTTGGGCAGATGGATGGAGGAAAGACAGGCGGTGTGTGGGTAGCAGGTAGATAGACAAAGTGCAGGCGGGTGGGTGAGTGCGGCGTGTGGGAGTGTGTGGAAGAGAGACGAGGGAGTGAGTGGATGCGTGCATAGAAGAGCGGGCAGGTAGGCGGGGGGCGAGCCTGGGCGGTTTAGTGATGAGCGCTCAGACGGGTGAAGGGATAGGTAAGTGAGTGGATAGTAAAAGAATGGACAGAGAGCTGGATAAATATTTGGGTTAGCTAGAAAAGCAGGCTCATTCATTTAGCAGGAGCCCTGGGTTTAGAAGAGACGATCAGGCCAGCGGACAGAAGAGCAGGTAGTAGAATCCAGACCCAGTCACGCAGGATCATCCAACAGTTCACATTAGGGTACTCTTGCGATACAGTCTTATTTCCATCAGAGCGCTCAGCCCCAGGGTGAAGGAGGGAGGAAGAACCCCAAGCAGGGCTGGACGTACACAGGCGTCTGGAACAGTGCCTGGTAGTTAGCGAGTGCTGTCGGGCGGCTGCAACGAGTGTGGACATCAGGGTTGCTTCTGCCTAGAGAACGCGCACCTGCTAGTGAGTGCCAGGCAGGGCAGGAGCGCTGTCCAGGTGTCATCTCACGGGCCCGCCCTGCGACACGGGTCCTGTCCTTGTCCCCACCTTGCTAGTGACTGTGATTATGATCACCAGATGTGGTAAAAGAGGAACGGGCGGGGCGAAGCCCGGAGTCCAAACTGACAGGGAAAATCCCTGCGGCTGCCGCAGCTTCCTCCGAGCAAGGCCACAGCACAGAGCAGGTGCCACGGCGACATCAGCTCAGGGGTGCAGCACCCTTCGCGGAGCCTCTGCCCCGCCCCTGCCTCGTCCGGCAGTGTTCCTGCCCCGATCTGGGGTGTGGGGGTAATTACCTTGCTCCACATCCAGATATGCCAAAAAGCCCAAGTCAGCCGCCAGTGGGATTATAAATAAATGATGGCTGCTATCAGAGTCCGAGAGAAAAGGAGCTCTGACTTCAACGCTGTGTCCCTTGGCAGCACCTCACAGAGGGAATCTCACTTGCATTTACATGGGTGAATTGGGTGCCAACTTCACTGGGCCTCAAGGAAAAAAATCTCAGTCCCTCTCAGTGGGGGTCCGTCCAGAGGCCTGAGCAGAGATCACGGCCTGCTAGTCAGGTGACCGGGAATGTGGCTGCCCACCTGCTGGCCGGCCACTGTTTCCTCCACAAGCTAGCCGTGTCTTTAAAAAGGTAACTAACACCAGTTTAGCTGACACGGGGCCTGGAAATGGTCTAACATTTGGGGGGACAAGAGAGTTATTTTTGGCTATCCTGGTCACCTTTGTCTTCCTGCCTTTGAATATGATTCTGTGAACACTGATGCCTGGCACGATAGCAGCTATTTTGTGACCATGAAGCACCATGCCTGGAACAAAAAGCCCATGTGTTGAGAAAGGCAGAGGGAAAGACTGGAAGCAATCTGACTCCTTCGTAATGTAGTTGAGCGGCTAAATGAACTTTCCTCCCTTCTCCTCCTGTTTCTGAGAGTTCATTAGCCATTCTTACATGAAATGAGCAATAGAGACCAGCTCCTGCTCTTGCGTACTCTACAGCCTATCAGATATTAAGGGCTAACATGATAAGGCACTTTTTATAAATTCCTCATAATAACCCTGTAAATCAGATCCTATGTTACCACCCCATTTTACAGAGAGAAAATTGAGGCTCAGAGAGGCTAAACCACTCGTCCAAGGTCAAAGTAAGTAAGGCACTGGTCATTTTGACTCCAGAACCCTCTCTCTGTGCCACAGGCCACGCTGCCGTCCTGAGTGGACAAATGGACGAGCATACGGGGCTGTTTGCTGACAGGTGACGGTGCTGTGCGCTGCCTGCATTTCCACAATCCAGGCTGATCCAGATATTCTTTGTCCGACTCTGGAGGTAACTCTGCAGGCACTGGGCGCTGGGAGGGAAGAACTGAAGGAAGCAGAGTATCTGGCACTGACCTTGGGCTCCTGGAGTCACCCACCAGGGACCTGCGGCCGTGAAACCGCCGGGCCGTCCTCACCCTGTGACCCTGAGCCAAACCCCGTCACCTCCGCATGGGCTTCCAGGCACTGCCTCATGTTCCCAGTACTCCTCAGTGCCCAGCAGAGAGAGAAAGCAAACGCCCAGCTGCCGGAGATGAAAGTCCCTGCGAGGCTCTGCGTGGCCGGCTACCGGCACCCAGGTGCTCTGGAACCCATCGAGCTCATTTCTGCCCTGAAGCTCTTCCAGTTTCCCTGCCGGGCTCAGCCTCAGTGGATCAGCCCCTTTGGTTTTGTCTTTTTGAGACAGGGTCTCGCTCTGCAGTTCAGGCTGGCTTTGAGGTCTCTTTGTAGCCCAGGATCACCCCCTTTGGGAAACCTTGCCCGATCCCCTGTCTGACGTTGCTGGTGCCTTGCTTCATCACACTTTGTCACCTCTCTCTGGTTACTTTTCTTCACTGAACTGGTGATGGTTGGAATGCTCTGATCTATTGACTTGTTCATTAACCGGGATCATTAACTTGTTCATTATCAGAATAGAAGTCTCACCGTGCAGGGACTGTTTTATCTACGTGGTAACTCCAGTGTCTGGGGTATTGCGTGGCACATAGTAGGTGCTCACTAATTACTGATTGAAAGAATAGCATTTCCACACTGGAAAACACCTTTGCCTTCCATTAAATTAACTGAGGGCACCTCAGCATCGGCACTGTTGACATTCCCAGCTGGAGCAATCTTTACTGTGGAGGGGGCTGTCAGGCATTGGAGAATGGTTAGCAGCGTCCCTGACCTCTACTCACTAGATGCCAGGAGGTTGTTTCCTCTCTCCCCAGAGTTTTGAAAATCAAAAAAAATATCTGTAGACATTGCTACACATCCCCTGGGTCAAGCAAGCAAACATCAAAATTTCTGCCCCCCTCATTTTGTTTTGTTTTGTTTTGTTTAGTTTTTTTGAGACAGTGTCTCACTACATAGTTCAGGCTGGCCTTGAATTCACTTTGTGGCCCAGGCTGGCCTCAAACTCTCAGCGATGCTCCTGCCTCAGCCTCCCGAGTGCTGGGATTACAGACATGCACCACCATGGTTGCCTCCCTCATTTTGGAGAGCAAATAAATGTTGGCTTTCAGGCTGGTCTTGGTCACTTTCCAGGAACAAACTGCATTCCTCAGGCTTCTTTGGGCAAAAAGGCCCTGGGTGGGAGCTGATGACAGACTGGTGATCAGGGGCAAGGGAAAAGTAACTGTAACTTAGATGAGTGCAGAGCTTTAGAGGTGACAAAGGTAAGTTTGCAACAAGACACCAGGCCTACCACATCCTCAGGGATGCCAGCACTAAAACAGCCATGTGGGCACGGTACAAACACACCATGGGGCATAGCACAGGAAGTCCCATAGATCAGGGCAGGGAGGGCCTGGTTACTTCACGGATGGTTTTCAGAAAGCTAGCTGACTACAGAGAAAGAATAATGCCAGGCCCCCACCAAGTAATACATGTGAGTTATATGTGCATATGTTTAGTTGACTCAGAGCTTAAAGTAAAAGATAAAAATATAAAATTAATAAACAAGGTGGGGGGGACCTCTTGAAACAACACTGTCAAAGCACAAACCATACAGCCAAAACGAATTGCTCTGGACACATTCAAAGACTTTTTCTTCAACAAAGGACATCATGCACAAAGTTAATAAGTAAGTGCTGGAGTAGAAGCGGGTATTTGCAATATCTGAAGTCAAGGTTCTTAAAATCTGGATTATACAAAGGAGTCCTGCGAATCATCTAAGAAATAAAAACAGGAACCCTGACAGAGAAATGGAGGGTGATGTGCGTAGGCAATTTATAGACTTGCTTTGTGCAAACGAGCCTAGGAAGAGAGACTCAGACTTAGTAGCAATCTCATTTAAAACCACTGAGCTGTCACTATGCACCTGTTAGACCAGAGAATTTAGACCCTGGGTAATACCTAATGTTGGCAGAGACTTGGGGTGCAGGGACTCCCAAGCACTGGGGTAAGATGTACCCACAGGCAGACCTTAAGGGAGGCCTGGGTGCCTTAGTTATGTACACCTTTACCCCATGTCCCATCAAGCCCAAGCCTGCAGGAATACTGCTCAAATACCAGGGCTGCTCACCCCAGTCCAGGAGCAGACTTGTGGGGAGATGCTCGTCGGTGTGTTCATTGTGGTGGGGGGAGCTGGAGGGCATCTGAGTGACATGGGGCGGGGGTGGAGTGTGAGGAGGGGACGCAGGTCCTCAGAGACAACGGTGCAGCTACCAGGAGCTGCAGACTGGTGTTCTCATGGTGACACAGATGGAGCTTAGAGAAAAATAAGGAACAGCATGAGATCTGTAACACAAGCCATGTATGTGGGTTGAAACATGCACAGAAAACACGAAACACATGAGCTCAGACCAGTGTTGGAACAGCCCATTGGTTTGGGAGTTGGGCTGGACATTTTCCAGCAAGATACTGCCACCATTTCACCTCTCTGAGCCTCCGGTGTCCGTATCTGTGAGTAATCCCGCGCTAGGAACCCTCGGGGGCTAGTTGTAGTAGGTGCTCAGCAAACATGGCTCACCAGAGTGGAGAAGGAAGGCTCCACTGGCTGTCATTTTAGATGCAGCAGGATGACTGTACCCTGCAGGAATACCTGGGAGTTTCACCATTAGAGAGTCGTTTGTTCCTCTAGTCAGGAATGCTTTTTGCTTTCTGCAACCTCCTATGGACAAGCTCAGATCTCTGGAAGGAGGTCGCCTTCAGCCATCCAGGTTAGCAGAGGGGCCAGCTGAGAGCCACGTCTGACTCCAAGAATGCTGTTGTGAAGCTGGAGAAAAACCGCCTGCTCCCTGTCACTGGCCATGTGCAAACCATCGGATGATGCCGACCCCGTTACCCGGGAAATGAACTGGGTCCGACCACTTCTCCGGCCTCTATGACCACCTCCCTCCACGGGCTGCCATTGGCTCTCCCTGGGCTCCCTGCTCCCAGCCCCGCACCCTGGCCGGCTCCCATCCGCCTCTCTCAGGGTGAAAGCCAAGGTCCTCACCAGGGTCCATGTGAGTGACTTCCTCTGTCCCAGCCACTCTGCTTGGCTCGCTGTTCCCTAAACGCGGCCCACCCCTCTCCTCCCTGGGCATCCACATGCCCTGTTCCCTGCTGCAGGGAGTTCCCCTCCCTCGGACTCTCCAGGGCTGGTCCTTCGTCTTTCCTTCTCTGCTGCTGGCCCACCCTTGTGAAGTGAGGCCCTGGCCAGCCTCTCTCCACCCCACCCGCTTCCTTTATGGCACTCAGTGGAGCCTGGGATTTTCTCTCACTTTTGAAAATTTGCTAAAGTTGCCTATTTTCCTCCATGGGTCTACAAACAGACAGAGGAGAACAGGATGGAATCAGAGCATGGGGTCAGGAGATTAGGATTTAGCCTAATGCAAGGGGAAGTCTTGGGAAGGCCTGAAGCCTGAGGGAGACTCGGGCTATGAACCCAAGTCTACCAAACAAGCAGTAGTTGGTGCTTGTGGCAGGGACCAAGCACGAACTGCAGGAGGCAAAGGCAGAGCGGAGAGAACAGGGAGGGGGTGGCAGGGCAGCGGGACGCTGGTGCCTTGGACAAGGGCCACGGGGAGGGAAGGAAGTGGTGGGACTGAGCAGGTTAGAAAGATACAATAGGCCGGGCCTGGTGGTGCAGGCCTGTAATCCCAGCACTAGGGAGGCTGAGGCAGGAGGATCGTTGCCAGTGAGACCCTGTCTCAAAAAGACCAAAAAAAAGATATAATAACGCTTTTTACAGCGTGGTGGAAACCAAGCACTTCCTTTTAGAAAAGAAGAAAAGAGCCCAGGCGCGCGAGCGTGTGTGTGTGTGGGGGGGGGGAGGGGGCGGCTTACAGAGGCCTTGTCCGCCGGCCAGGTGAAGCGCGGGGTTACTCATTTCAGAGCTCGCTGGATGGCTTCTCTCTCCCCCATTGCACAGGGTGGAAGCCAGTGCCTTCAGGAGCCTGCTACTCGGGAAGCTCTCAAGACCCAGCTGTCCAACTTGACATGAATGAGCCTGTGAGTCACCAGGCTGCAGAAGCGCTCCCTCCTCCTCCCGCTTCCCCTGCCTCGCTGCGTTTCCTCCCAGCGCTCTCACCAACAGCCACCAATCGCATATTGATCTGTTAATGTGCTGACGGCCCCTTTCCCTTACCAGGATCTAGAATTCCGTTCTAGAACTAGATTTGAGAATTTAGAATGCAGAGCTCACGAACACGAGGGCCGTGTCACATCCCCCCCACCCCCAGTCCTCTCCCCTGCTGCAGCAACCCCCCAGGCTTAGCCCTGTCTGACGCGTTCTTTCACTTTCTTGTTGATAGTCCCTCTGTCTGCGGGCAGCTGCACGAGCGCCGGATGTTTGTGTTTGATCCGCAGCTGTATCTCAGATGCCTGTCGTGGAGCCTTGCACACAGCAGGCGCTCACACAGGTAGCGACCGACCCGGCCGGCGGGCTGCACGGGTAGCGGTGCGGGTGGGAGGCAGGATGGCAGCTGCCCTGCCCGCCCGAGCCCCCAGCCGCCCCCGGCCTCCCCGCCAGGCCAGCCCGGGCAGGGAGGAGTTAAGCGGCGCGCGCGCTTCCGACCGGCAGGTGGCGCCGTCCCGCCTCGGTGCCGACTCCCGGCGCTCCGAAGTGCGGGACAGAATCGCAGGGAGTGCGGAGCCGAAGCTCAGCCCCGACTTGTTGATCTCGCCCAGGCAGCTGCCGCCGCCGCCGCCTAGCAAGAGGAGGAGGAGGAGGTGGAGGAGGAGGTGGAGGAGGCGCCGCCCGCCCGCG